AAATCATTACCTGTTGATTTTGATAAGCCCCTTGATGTTGATTTAGCGGTGGCATGGTATTATTATTGTTGTTGTTTATGTGATGGCCCAACAAAGGCTGTGATGTTGGTGCATGGTGCTGTTGCTGTTGCACATGATGATTTTGTGGCATCGGGGCCGAAGAAGCATAGGTTGGTGGTTGTGGTCCAGCAGAGGCATTGTTTAAACGCATTCTGTTGCCTAAATTTGTTGTTGGCTTTTGGGAATATAGGGGATGTTGATGTTGTTGCTGTGACGTCATCAATAATGAAGCAGCAGCAGTATTGGTTTGATTTCTTAATGATAACAAAGACGACGATGATGATGTTGTTGGAGTTGAAGTCGTTTGTTGTTGGGGTAATGTTCCAGACCTTAATGGTACTGCTGACACCTGCTTCTGCTGTTGTACGACAGCAGGGGAATTGGTGGAGTTGACATTATTAGTATTAAACATTGATGGCTGTAATGTGGAGGATGAGGATGATGATGTTGTTGTTATAGATTTTTGATGATTAGATGAAGGATGTGCTTGATAATGTTGTTGTTGTTGATTTTGATGAACCCAAGACATGTTTGTGATATTATTTTTTTTTTTTACAAGTAATCAAAGAGCTCTTCTAGAAGCGCACCTATGATTTGAAACAAAATTCAGATATATTATTAAAATTCAAATACAAATAACATTCAAATCGACCACATACATACATGGACTACACCACAAAATAAATGGACAACAGGGTGATGATTATGTAAAAAAAAGAAATAAACTTAAAGAAAATATGAAAAATGTATTGATTTTTTTTCTGCTACGTCCACTAGAAACCGGATTCCCAAATTAGCTCAAAAGTTGAATGCACCCCTTTTGTGGATGTTGTTGTTTTCTTTGGCTTAAGTCTAGTTTAGGGGCTCCACCCGGATCGCTTTGAAATTTTTGCCGTAAGTAGTCCTCGTTGTGCTGATTACAGTGATATATATTTTATGTGGGGGAAATGCATACTTCCCGAGATATGGGCCTTGAAAGTTTGGAATATACCTTGGTTAAAACGGCCGTTTTACTAATGCCACCAAAGCAATATGGGTATCATTTTAAAGGGTTTGAATAGTGCTTTAAAAATAAATATAGTATATCATTGTAAATTATATAATATTAACTAAAATTGAAAGAAAAAACATTTGGATTGCGTAGCCATGCATGCGCCTGTCCATAGATGAAAGCCTTAAGCCCCGGCTGAAGGCCGGCTACTTAAAAAACCTTGATTTTGATTTGAAAATTGCTCTTAAAAAAGGATTTGGATTGCGTAGCCATGTATGCGTCTGTCCATAGGTGAAAGGCTTAAGCCCCGGCCGAAGGCCGGCTACTTAAAAAACTTGAATTTGATTTGAAAATTGCTCTTAAAAAAGGATTTGGATTGCGTAGCCATGTATGCGCCTGTCCATAGGTGAAAGTCTTAAGCCCCGGCCGAAGGCCGGCTACTTAAAAAACTTGAATTTGATTTGAAAATTGCTCTTAAAAAAGGATTTGGATTGCGTAGCCATGTATGCGTCTGTCCATAGGTGGAAGTTTTAAGCCCCGGCCGAAGGCCGGCTACATAAAAAACCTTAAATTTGATTTGAAAATTGCTCTTAAAAAGGATTTGGATTGCGTAGCCATGTATGCGCCTGTCCATAGGTGAAAGTCTTAAGCCCCGGCCGAAGGCCGTCTACTTAAAAAAAACCTAAATTTGATTTGGAAATTGCTCTTAAAAAAGGATTTGGATTGCGTAGCCATGTATGCGCCTGTCCATAGGTGAAAGTCTTAAGCCCCGGCCGAAGGCCAGCTACTTAAATAACCTTAAATTTGATTTGAAAATTGCTCTTAAAAAAGGATTTGGATTGCGTAGCCATGTATGCGCATTCGTTGTATGCTTTAAAATGATACCCATATTGCCTTTGTGGCATTACTAAAACGGCAGTTTTAATCAAGATATGCTCCGAACTTTCAAGGCCCATATCTCGGGAAGTATGCATTTCCCCCACATAAAATATATATCACTGTAATCAGCTCAACGAGGACTACTTACGGTAAAAATTTCAAAGCGATCCGAGTGGAGCCCCTAAACTAGACTTGTTCCTTTTCTTTTTTATCAACGTCACACAGGCCCAAGAAATACAAAAAAATATTAAAACAAAAACAACAACTACAATAAATTCAAGTTTTTCTTAATTTTCCATTATAAAATAAATACAAATGTTATTGTTGTTTTTGTTTTAATATGCCCCAAATAATTTTACTTTCATTCTTTTGTAAAAAAAAAAAACAAAAAACAAAAAAATGTATCCAAACCCCACTCAAGCAAGCCAAATCCACAGTCTGTTGACAGACAACAGCATGCACAGCTGTTAAGAAACAATAAAGTACTCTATGGCCACGGTGCTTGCTCTCTCATGTCGTGTTTTTTATTTATTTTTTGTTTTTCTCCTTCCTTTTTTTGTTGTTTCCTTTTTGTCCGTATGCATGTTGTTGTTGTTTGCCACTTAAATTGTGCAAACCCCAAAGTTTACGTGGATCTTTTGAACGTTGGCTCTCTTGCATATCTTGTTTTTTCACACACACTCTCTCTCTCTCACTCACACACTCTCCCCCCTCCCACAAAAAAGTTGTCATTACTCTGCGTTTTTCCTACTGCTGCTGTCAACTTTTATTTTATTTTTTTCGTCACACACACACACTATATACACACAAACCCATACACAAATATATGTTATACGTTGGCACCTCTTAATATCTGGATGGTTGGCGATGGATGTATGAAGGAAGAAGCAGAAAACGACAATAGCTTTTTTACCTTTAACTTGTTTCGTTTTCGATTTTTTTTCAAATGGTTGTTTTTTTGCTCGTAAAACACTTGAATTTATTGTTTCTTTTTGCCCGAATCACAAATATTCACATTATTTTATTGTTTTTAATTGGTTTTGTTCGGAATTATCGACAATTTCCTTGTAAAATGTTCAGGTGAAATCTAAACTTTTATTTCTCTTTTGCGAACCGAGAAGAACCGAGCCATACTGATTGTTGGTTTTTAACGGCGTTGTTTACGTGTACGTTGTACGGTCGGTGATATATAGGGATAGGTAAGTCGACATTCGACTAAACGACTAGGGATAAGTAAATCGACTTTTTGTATTGGTAAAGTTGTGTCTAAAAGAAGTCGAATTCGGCTTGTGATCTTTAAAGAAATTGAAAAGTCGATTTTTTCAGACAAAGGCAAAAGAAAATTGCTTTTTCTACGTATCCAATCCATAGAAGCGAGCCATTCTAATTGTTGTCTTTTAACGGCGTTGTTTACGTGTGATGTACGTCAATAAATGGATTACGGTACATCAAAGTTTAAACACAACTAGAGAGTCTTCAAACCACAAAAATCCGGACGGCTGACGTTCGCGTGCTGGTGCTAATGACAACAATAAATAAAAAATTATTGAAATGCCGATTAGCAAAACCCTACTAACTCTACGTTAAACAGCAGTGGTTCATGATTACTCTGGAGGAAATATTCTACGTAAAATTTCACTCAAAATCGGAAGTCATAAAACTAAATTATAAATGCTTGTTTCTTTTGAATAGGGGCCGGTTAGATCCTCATAACTCTGTTATAGGGCATTGGTGCCAATGGAGGAAATATTCTACATCAAATTTCACTATAAGTCTCCGAACAACAAAAATCTGAAGCTCTGATGTAAACCATAAAAAATTGGGTCTTAATATACCAAATAATATATTTTTGGTCAATTTGGTATTTCTTTCGTCTAGGGGCCAATTTGTCCTACAATACTACATTATAGGGTCTTGATGTCAATGAAAGAAATATTCTACATCAAATTTCACTATAAGTCTCCGAACAACAAAAGTCTATAGCTCTAATATATATCATGAAAATAGGGTTAACTATTTAGGCTTTATAAAGCATAGAAACATAATGGTCAATTTTATAGATCTAATACAATACTACATTATAGGTGGTTGATGTCAAGGGGGGAAATATTCTCCTTCAAATTTCACTAGAGGTCTCCTAACAACAAAAATTTGCAGCTACAATATATATTAGGGAAATTGGGTTTTCCCTTTGTCTATATAGAAATATTTAATAATTTTGGTTAGCTTTGGTTTTGTCAATTTAACCCCCAATACTCCATTATAGGTGGTTGGGTTCAATGGATAATACATTCTTTATCAAATTTCACTATAAGTCTCCGAACAACAAAAGTCTACAGCTTCTATATATATTAGTGAAATTGGGTTATCTATTTGGTCTATATAGAAATATTCGATAATTTGGGTTAACTTTCAATTTATGTCAATTTAACCCGTCATTCTCCATTATAGGTTTTTGCTGTCAGTGGAGAAAATATTCTACATAAAATTTCACTATGAGTCTCCGAACAACAAAAATCTGTAGGGCTAATATATATTAGGAAAATAAGGTTATGTTTTGGGATATATAACAAAATTCTACTTTTTGAATAAATTTCGTAATGTCTTTAGAATAAGGGGTCAATATCCACTCAATGCACAATTCTAGCGTCCAAATGTCAATCAAGGAAATATTTTAAATTAAATTACATTTAAATGTTATCGGTAGCATAACATTAACAATGCGAACTAGCTGTACTAATTAAACGAACGAAACCAGTTCTCATTGTTCATTTCACTGAACCATTGCCGTTGAACCAGTTGTCAACTCTACACTTGACAGTTGAGATAGTTGTGACGTGTTGCCCAGTCAGTTCATCCTAGGATTTTTTTGTGCTATTAATTAAATTGTATTTTTTCGTTTGGTTTCGAAACAAATCCAAACATTTCCCATTTGCCAATTTGTCATAACATTGCGAAACTAAGAAATCTCTCTTCCCGACCCCCCTCTCAACAAACTGCCGCCACGCAAAGCTGAGGCAGTTCAAAGGCTACGAAACTTGACATCAGTGATTGAAAACACAGCAGCTGAAGAGGAGGCATAATAATAAAAGGACATAAACAATGGCTTTGCTAACGATGATAGCCCGTGTCATAGATGGTCTTCCATTAGTGGGTACCATGCAAGATGATGAACAGGTAATGTCACCAGAAGAGAGAAAGTATTCCAAAAATTAGTTTGTAATTAATTTCGATTCCTTGTTTTTTATTTCCCCCTCTGATTAGACTGGTCGCAGCATTATGGAGTATCAAAATCAAGCCAAAATGTTATTCCGCAAATTGGGCTCACACTCACCCAGCAGATGTAGCATAGAAACCGGTCCATATTTATTTCAGTGAGTCGAATTAAATATTCAATTTCTCAGTTATCCAACAATGATTTGATTTTCCCCCGCTTTATTTCAGCTATTTAATAGAAAATGATGTCTGCTATTTGGTAATGGTGGATAAAATGTATTCAAAGCGTTTGGCGTTTAATTACCTAGAAGATTTGGCCCAAGAATTTCATGCAAACTATGGCCGAAAAGTAAATTCAGTGACAAGACCCTATGCCTTTATCGAATTCGATGTTTATATACAGAAGGCAAAGAAACAATTGACCGATCGTAGACGTAATATAAATACAATTAATACACAATTGCAGGATGTCCAGAGGATAATGGTGAGTTGGGAGAGTAACAAAAATTGGGAAACATTTAAAAAAATCGATAATTTTTTATATCAAAAAATCGATATTTTTATACAGGAAAAATTTATAATTTTTTTATATAAAAAATCGATAATTTTTTATACAAAAATTGATAATTTTTCTATATGAAAAATCGATGAGTCGACAATTTTTTTCTATAGAGAAAAAATCGAAAATTTTTTCTATAGAGAAAAATCAATAATTTTTCAATAGAGAAAAATTGATAATTTTTTCTATAGAGAAAAAAATCGATAATTTTTTCTATAAAGAAAAAAATCCATAATTTTTTATATAGAAAAAAAAATCGAAATTCGTTTGTATTGTGAAATAATCCTTGTTTTTTTCTATCGAGAAAATAACCGACAATTTTTTTTTTTAAATTCGACACATTTTTCTTAGAAAATTTCAGAAAAACAGAAAAATCAATAATTAAAAAAAAAATTGAAAAATTTCTATACAGAAAAATTGTTATCGATAATCCTTCTACACAAAAAAATTTTTTATCAATAATTTTTCTTTACAGTAAAAATGTTATCGATAATTTTTCTATACAGGAAAATTGTTATCGATAATTATTCCATACAAAAAAATTTGTAATCGATAATTTTTTTATACAGAAAAATTGTTATCGATAATGTTTCTATACAGAAAATTTTTTATCGATCATTTTTCTATACAGAAAAATTGTTATCGATCATTTTTCTATACAGAAAATTTGTTATCGATCATTTTTCTATACAGAAAAATTGTTTTCGATAATTTTTCTTTGTAGAAAAAAATGTTTTCGATAATTATTCTATACAGAAAAATTGTTATCGATAATTTAATGTCAAAAAAGTAAATTTTTCTCTATAAAAAAGTTGTTATCGATAACATATCTTTATATAATTTTCATTATCGACAATTTTTCTTATATAAAACTTGTTATCGATAATTTCTCATAATAGGGAAATTGTTACCGATAACTTTTCATTATAGAAATGTTGTTATCGACAGATTTTCTTGATGGAAAACATGTTATCGATAATTTTTCATAATAGAAATGTTGACATCTTCAATTATTCTTTATGAAAAAGTTGTTATCGATAAATATTCCTTATAGACAAGTTGTTATCGTTAGCTATTCGTCATAGAAAGTATGTTATCGACAGCTGTTCGCCATAGAAAAGTTATAATCGGCAACTTTTTTGTCATAGAACATTTGTTATCGAAAATTTCTGATTATATACAGGTTTTTATCGATAAGTTATCGTTATGAAAATGTTGTTATCGGCAAAATTTTTACCTCGAAGAATTTTTATCCACAGATTTTTTTTTTCATAGAAAACGTGTTATTGATAATTCTTTGTTATCGAAAAGTGGTTACAGATAAATATTCTTTATATAAATTTTGTTATCGATAAATTTTCACAAGAAATATGTTGTTATCGGCATCTTTTCTTCATGGAAACATTTTTGTTTCCAGCTTTTCTTTATGGAAGAGTTGTTATCGATAATTTTTCATGAAATAAATGATGTTATCGATAGTTTTTTAATATAAAACAATTGTTATGCTTCGTTTTTTCGTTTTAGTTAAATGTTGCTATCGGTAATTTTTCTTTAAGAAAATTTTGTTATTAATAATTTTTTATCGAAAAATTTGTTGTCGATTTTTTCTTGTTGTAAAAAAGTTATTATCGATAAGTATTTGTTTTAGAAAAATTGTTATCGATTACTTTTACAACATGTAATTATCGATTATTTTTCATACAGAAAATTATTTTATGTTCTATATTGTCTATAGAAAAAATCGATACATTTTTTCTATGAAGAAAGAAAATTAAGAAAACATTTTTTTCTATAGAGAAAAACCCCATATTTTTGTGAAATATTTCAAATATTTCACAGAAACGTTTAAACTTCTATAATGTCATTACTTACCGATTTATTTATTTTTTCAGGTTCAAAACATCGACGATGTCCTACAACGCGGTACAGTTTTATCAGGTACACCTCGATTTTTTTCCTATCTGAATTTAATTTTTAAATTTAATTATTTTTATTTCTTTTTTCAGAACTTGATACAAAAACTCAAAATCTTTCCATGATGTCCCAAAAATATAAGAAAGATGCCACCTATCTAAATCGTAAATCGATGTATGTTAAAGCTGCTGCGGCCGGTATTGTTGTTATAGTTTTTATTTTATACTTTTGGGTTTTGTAATATTAAGAGCAGAACGACAAAAAATGGAGATCAGCCAAGGCAATAGATATCAACTATTTAAAAAAATTATATTTATATACATACATAACACCAATATATATGTATATTTAGTGTAAAGATAACAACCACAACAACTGGAATGTAACGAATCCCCCGCACTTATTAATTTATTTCTAATGAAAATCCTCGCTGTGCAAAAAATGTAACCTTTGAGCAGGAATTTCATAAAAATTAATGAAATTATTTTTTTATTTCATAAATTTTTATGGAGTTTTTAAAATTTCGGAAGGTTTCAATTTTTTGTGTAGCAAAACAGAAAACTTATCACATTTTCCACTAGCCTTTATTATATATGTTTCTTTTTTGTATTGTTTGTTTTCCTTTTTTTATATATATATAAATATTTCTTTCTGTGTGTTGGTTAAAAGAAAACTTTATTTTTTATATAAATGAGAAAAAAAAAACATAAGACATAATTTAAATTAAAAAAATAAATAAATAAAATAGGCGAAATAATAAAGAAGATGAAAAAGAAAGAAGAGAGAAAAAAATAAATACAACAATTACACGAAATATTTATTTTTTGTAAACATTCTAAATTACTTAAAAATACTGGGATATTCTCTTGGGCTTTTTAAGTTTTGTTAAAACAAAACACGGCAACTCTATGCGAAATGAAAACATCAACAAACAGCTGTTTTGTCACACACATGCACACCAGCCATATTAAGGATGACTTAGTCTATGCGATTTTTTTACTTTCGGAAATATTTGGGGGATAATGAAATGAAATGATTCAATGTTTCCAGTTTTTGTACACAAGGTTACTCATCTCATGAGTAATCAATCTGCCAAAAATAAAGAAAATCCTTTGGAAATTTCTGTTTAAATTTACAAAAATTGAAAAATACTGGGTTACATTTGTGTGGGAGCTATACCAAAACATGGACCTAGGTAGTGAAATTTTTGTCACACGATTTCTTATCCTCTGGGAACCCATTTGGCCAAATTAGAACGAAATCGGTTCACAAATTTGGTTATAAAATTTAAAAATTGTATGATTTTGAGGTTATGTTACATGGGAGGTATATTAAAAAAATAACCGATATTGCCAATTTTTTGTCACAAGTTGTGACATCTAATGAGTAACTAATTTACCAAATATCAACGAAATCTCTTCGAAAATTCTGTTGAAATTTTCAAAAATTAAAAAATACTGGGGTGCATTTGTGTGGTAGCTATACCCAAATATGGATCTATGTAGACAATTTTTTGTCACAAGCTTCCTTGTCCTCTAATTATCCATACTGCCAAATTAGAACGAAATCGGTTGATATATTTAATTAAAACTTACATTTTTTTTTGTCACAATATTGCTAATTTTTGGTCCATCAATATATTTACCAAATATGAAGAAAATCGCTTGACAAATTCTGTTCAAATTTTCAAAAATTGTAAAATACTGGTGCGCATGTGTGGGAGCTATACCAAAACATCGACCTATATAGAAAATTTTTTGTAACAAGCTTCCTTGCCCTCTAATTATCCATACTGCCAAATTTTAGCGTAATCGTTTGACAAATTTGATTAAAATCCCTTAAATTTTTGAAATTTTGAGGTTATGTTACATGGAAGCTAAATGAAAAAGAGGTTCATTATGGCTATTTTTTGGTGACAAGTTAGGTCATCTATGGAGTAATAAATTGACCAAATATGAACAAAATCTATTGCAAAATTCTGTTGAAATTGTTAAAAATTAAAAAATACTGGGATACATTTATGTGGTAGCTATACCCAAACATGGACCTATGTAGACAATTTTTTGTTACAAGATTCCTTGTCCATCAAGAACCTATACTGCCAAATTGGAACGAAATCGTTGGAGAAATTTGATTAAACCACCTTAAATTCGTGACATTTTGAGGTTATGTTACAAGGTGCTATATGAAAAATAGGTCCATTATGCCTAATTTTTAGTGACAAGTTAGGTCATCTATGGAGTAATAAATTTACCAAATATGAAGAACATCCATTGGAAAATTCTATTGAAATTTTCAAAAATTCAAAAATACTGGGGTACATTTGTGTGGGAGCTATACCAAAAAGTGGACCTATATACACACAATTTTGTCAGGAAACTCCTTACCCTCTAATAAGCCATACTACCAAATTCAAAAGATATTGTTTGATAAATTTTGTACAAAACTTAAAAATTTATAACATTTTGAGGTTATAATATATGGGACTTATATATAAAATTCGATTTAAATTAAATTTTTAGCTTTTCTCTTCATCCTCGTCATCATCTTCGGTGGATGAGGATAAAGCCTCCATTAATTGTTCATCGGTAAAGAGGAAATTACGGCTCTGTTGTTTTTCATATTCTTCACGCTTGCGTTGACGTTCTTTGCGTCTATTTTCGGCTTGTAATTTTTCCAAAGTTTCCAAATTATTGGCAGCTTCCTCTTCGTCGTCTTCATCAGAGCCAGCTGCTTGTTGGCGTTTTTGTTTTTCCAGCGCTTCCTTGCGATATTTTTCCAGCAGGTCTTGATGTTTCTTTGTTTCACATTCCACATCTTCATCTACAAGAAATGAAAAATAATTATTTATTGGGAAAAAGTAGGGAATTTGTAAGGAGGAGATTTACCCGAATCAATAATATCAAAACCACATGGATCATCCTCATAGCTAACATAAATAAATGGATATTCGACCAGGGTTTTATTTTTAAGATTATTTTTCAGGGTTTTATTTACATCCAGGAGGTAAAAACGATTTTTACAGCCCTTAATGCCTTCCGATTTCAACATAACCTACCAAAAAAGAAAAATAGGAATTAATGTTTATTTTATTTAAAAAAAAAGTCATGTCAGTTTACCTTCAATCCCTGCACGCCTTTACTTTGATAAAATTCCAATTTCTTTTTCTCAGCCACCGGCGGCTCCACACAATCCTTATCCACATATTTCTTGAGTAAATCCCTTAAATACTCATCCTCCAGACATTTTTCATCGACATAACACAAATTTCCCGCATTGACAAATATCCATTTGACGCGCCACCATATCTGTTTTGTCTTCCAATCGTAATAGGTTGTATTCTCTTTGTGGCGTGCAAAATTCTGTACCAAAATCTTAAGGGTACATTTTCGTTCCTTCGCCGCCTGCCGTAAACGATATAAATGAACTGGCAATTCTGTATTGTATCGAGTAAAACGTTTAACACGATCACCCTTACGATCCTCTACATAACGTGTACATTCTTCCAGGAAATAATAATCACTCATAAAATCCATTTTCGTCATTTCTTTGAGCGGTATAAATTTCGTGCGATCTCGTATACCATCACAGTCAAGTTCTTTTTTGTGTATGCGTACACAGTTCAGACAGCAGGTTTTCACTTCACATTTGGGGCAGGTATAGCGGGCTTCTTGGGCGGCACATACTTCACATTTGCCCAGACGAGCGGGGAAATTTGCAGAGGAGGAGCTGAAAAAAAATGAAATGAAAAAATATAATTTAAAAAAAATCTAGAAAAACTAAGAATCCATTTAAATATACCATTTTTTGAGGTTAGGTTATAAGTGGGTCAAATTTAAAAACTGATCCAATGTTTCCAATTTTTGGTTATAAGTTGCCATATCTAATAAGTAATAAATCTACTAAATTTGAACTAAATCTATTGCAAAATTCTATAAAAAGTCATAAAATTTGAAAAATACTGGGTTAAATTTGTGTGGGAGCTATACCAAAACGTGGACCTATATAGATAATTTTTTGTCAAAAGTTTGCCTAACCCCTAAGAATTCATATAGCCAAATGAGAACAAAATCGGTTGAGAATTTTGGTTGAAAACTTTTAAATTCCTTCGATTTTGAGGTTATGTTACAAAGGAGCTACATGAAAAACTAGTCCAATTTTCTTCATTTTTTGTGACAAGTTGGGTAATCAATTGAATAACCATTCTACAAAATATGATAAAAATCCATTGGGAAATTCTGTGAAAATTCATAAATTTTGAAAAATACTGGGGTACATTTGTGTGGGAACTATACCAAAACATCGACCTATGTAGATAATTTTTTGTGAAAAGTTTCTGTAGCCTCTAAGAGCTCACATAGCCAAAATAGAACAAAATCGGCTGAAAACTTTGAAATTCGTTTAATTTTGAGGTTATGTTACAAGGGAGCTACATGAAAAAGTAGTCCAATTTTCTTAATTTTTTTGTGACAAGTTGGGTAATCAATTGAATAACCATTCTACCATTTGTGTGGGAGCTACACCAAAAATCAATTGAATAACCATTGTACAAAATATGAACAAAATCCATTGGAAAATTCCGTTGAAATTAACAAATTTTAAAAATACTGGGTTACATTTGTGTGGGAGCTATATTTAAACGTGGACCTATGTATAAAATTTTTTGTCAAAAGATTCCTTGAACTCTAAGAACTCATACTGCCAAATTAGATCGAAATCGCTTGATAAATTTGCCTACAAACTTCAAAATTAATCACATTTTGAGGTTATGTTTTTTTCCCACTATAAATAATTTTATTAGCAATGTTATAATAAATATTTATTTAACTTACCTTCCTTGGGCCTTTTCATCCTCCTCGTCATCGCCATCCTCATCTTCACTTGTCTCACTTTCCGTATCGTTTTTAATTCTCAAATCAATATGATTCGCTTCAGCATTATTATGTGATTTTTTAACAACAATTATCTCGTCCGAATTAGCTGAAGTGGAACATGAACGTTTCATCTTTGAAACAAAGTAATAGATTTTTATGATCTCTTATCAGTTCGACTAGACTTTTTTTAATTAAGCCCAGCCTATGGGGTCTACAATACAAATGTAATCAGTTTAAAACGTGATTTGGGTTGATGGTGACAGTTTTGGAAAACAAGTTGTGTGGAAATTGGATTCGTTGTAAAGTTCACCAAATTATGTTGATTCTGAAATAGAAAAAAAAGATTTTTGTTTAAAAATATATTTTTGAATACTTTGTTCTGTTGCTAATCGAATGACCGTTGTGTAAGGTCAGTTAGCCATATTGCGTGTCGTATACCGTCAGTCAATACACAAAAAAACAGCTGATTTTGGCCAAGAAGTGTTAAAGAACAAAAAACAAGTGTATTTTTCAGATTCCGATTCATGTAACTTCATGTAGCCGCAAGACTACAAGTGAATATTTAAAAAAAGGTAAATTTTTAATTTATAAATAAAATATTGAAACCAATTTACCAATGTGAGTGATTGAGTGGCACAAAAAGACTAATATATTTGTAAGTATTATACAGAAGAACATTTTTAATGGGGTCCTTATTGATTGACCCACATTTGCCTGGCCAATAAACAACACATACAAAAACACACATAATTCAATATATTCAATATTGATTCGAAATTCCGTATTTTTTATTTCCCATTCATAAATTTCTGTATATTTCAATTATTTTATTTGCATTCGTGCTCTTTCCCTCCCACTTGTTCTCTCATCATTAATTAATGCGGGAAAACAATTGATTACCTTTTTTATTATTCCAAATTTCCAATTAATTCAATATTTTGGCTTCCAATTAATTATTTTTGTTAGTTAAACTACTTAAAAATACTACGCGAAAAACAAACCACAACAAACTAAAGAGAAAAATACATGTTCATGCACGTGCAAAGCAACAAATGACAGCTCGACCATATGGCATGAGAGAGCGAGAGTTTGTCCATAACATTAAGGGGTATTTACACTATGTGATTTTGTATACAGATTTAAATAATACAATTAAATGAATAAATAATGCATTTTAAATGGATTAAATGAATTTTTAAATCTTTGTATATTAAAAAAAATATACTGGAAATATCTAGGGTTACCAATGAGTATTTTTTAATAAAAAAATCCCTAAATTAATTTGAATAATGAAATTAATGAATAAATAATGAATTTTAATGGATTAAATCAATTTTTCAATCTTTGTAGGATGTGGGGGACGTATTAAATAAATTACTGGAAATATATAGGGTTGCCAATGAGTAATTTTTTTAAATACAAAATTTCCTAAATTATTTGTTTTTTTTTGTATTTACAAATAAAATTTTTACATATTTTTTGAACAACCTGTGGACATATTAGTAACAAATATTGCCATCGATATGTAGGGTTGCCAATATGTAATTTAAAAAAAATTGCAGATTTAAACAGTGAAATTAATTAATTTAAAGGATTAAATGAATTTTTAAATCTTTGTAGGCTATGGGGCCCGATTAAAAAAATTACTGGAAATATATAGGGTTGCCAATCAGTATTTTTTTTTGTATTTATACATAAAATTTGTATATATTTTTTGAAGAACATGTGGACATATTAATATAAAATATTGCCATCCACATTCAAATACTGTAATTCACATAGTCAAATAAGTTCACAAACAATGTTAAAAACTTAAAAACAAATTTTTCGATTTTGAGGTTATGTCATGTAAATTTATAATCTTTTTTAAATGGCATGAGGACATAGTATTATAAAATATTTATTATAATATGTCCTCATTGTCTAATTAGAATTAATTCAGTTCACAAACAATGTTAAAACCTTAAAAAAATCCAATTTTTGTTAAAATTTTTTTCTCAACAAATTTTATACCCTATAGGAACTCATGCAGTCGAATTATAAGAAAATCGACAAGAAAAATTATGGCAAGGAATAGGAAAGTCGGACCTTTGGGAAGACTCTCATCAGCTGGTCCATAAATAATCCTCTGTTCGTGTACGAAGGATTGCCATCCAATAAGACTATCTTAGGTCATCTGTAAATGTCTGCCTTCAGCTCAGGCACAGAAAGACTAACGTGGTAGCTGTTTCGAACAAGATCCAATCCTCCACAACGCCTGAGGATGAGATCGACAGAAGAACAGCAACCGGCCGCTAAGAAACCTTTGCATAGCTTCTCGCATGTTACGTTAGTAGCCAATAAAGATAGTGGGATAGCTGTCATTGGGAATACGAAAATCGAACTTTTTGAAAGACTCAGATCACCTATAAGATCCATAAATATTCCCATAAACTCTATAAATACTCTCCAACGTTCTTCTATGAAATACTCACTTCTGCTGGTCAATGAAATACTTTCATCAGCTAGTTTATAAATTATCCTCTGATCGGGTTTGAAAGACTGCCGTAAAAGACACGTCGTCCGGTATTCCTTCTTCTCGTCTTTAAAAGCCTCCATTCATCACGTCTATGAAAGACTCCCATCAGCTCCACTATGAAAGACCCCCTTCAGCTGCTCAATGAAATACCCCCTTTATTTCGTCTATAAGACTACCTGCAGCTCTTCTATTAGGACTCCCTTCAGTTCATATACAAATACTCATTTTAGCTCGTATGTAAAGACTCCCTTCAGCTCCTCTATGAAAGACTCCCACCAGCTCGTCTAAAGGCTCCCTTCAGCTCGACTATGAAAGATTCCCTTCAGCTTGTCTATAAAAACTTCTTTCAGATGGTCTATAAAGACTCCCATCCGCTCGTCTATAAAGACTCCCTTCAGCTCGTCAAAAAATACTCCCATCTTATAAAGACTCCCTTCGGCTGGTCTATGACAGACAGTTGGTCTATGAAAGACTCCCTTCAGCACGTCAATAAAGACTCCCTTCAGCTCGTCTATAAAGACTCCCTTTAGCTCGTCTATAAAGACTCTCTTTAGCTCGTCTATAAAGACTCCCTTTAGCTCGTCTATAAAGACTCCCTTTAGCTCGTCTATAAAGACTCCCTTTAACTCGTCTATAAAGACTCCCTTTAGCTCGTCTATAAAGACTCCCTTTAGCTCGTCTATAAAGACTCCCTTTAGCTCGTTTATAAAGACTCCCTTTAGCTCGTTTATAAAGACTCCCTTTAGCTCGTCTATAAAGACTCCCTTTAGCTCGTCTATGAAAGACCCCCATCCACTCGTCCCATCCGCTCGTGTATAAAGACGAACTCGTCTATGAAAGACTCCCTTCATCTCCTTTATGAAAGACTTCCATTCAGCTCGTCTATAGAGATTCCCATCCGCTCGTTTTTGGAAGATTCCTTTCAGTTGGTCTATAAAGACTCCCTTCAGCTCGTCAAAACATGCTCCCATCCTATAAAGACTTCCTTCGGCTGGTCTATGACAGACTCCATTATGTTTGTTTATAAAGCCTCCCTTCAACTGAAATCTCCCTTCAACTTCTATAAAAAAAAGCTCGTCTATAAAGACTCCCTTTAGCTCGTCTATGAAAGACCCCCATCCACTCGTCCCATCCGCTCGTGTATAAAGACGAACTCGTCTATGAAAGACTCCCTTCATCTCCTCTATGAAAGACTTCCATTCAGCTCGTCTATAGAGACGCCCATCCGCTCGTCTTTGAATGACTCCTTTCAGTTGGTCTATAAAGACTCCCTTCAGCTCGTCAAAACATGCTCCCATCCTATAAAGACTTCCTTCGGCTGGTCTATGACAGACTCCATTATGTTTGTTTATAAAGCCTCCCTTCAACTGAAATCTCCCTTCAACTTCTATAAAAAAAAAATATTTTAATATCGCCCATTAAGACTTCCTTCCATAAAAACCTCTCTGAGTTCCTCTTTAAAAGTTCCAATTAGATCTTCTATAAAGACTCCCTTTGGTTCGCCTGTGAAATTTATTTATTTAATTTTGCTGGGTTAATATTTATGCTCTCTCTCTTCTCTCTTTGGTTTCCCCACATTAGATTTCTCTCTCTCTCCCTACCGCATAACACAAATCTTCATATAGCGCCCATTCAAAACAGCGCCATCGAAATGTTGTTGTGGCGTCGTCGACAGTCATTCATTATTAGAACTCGTGTGCTGGCGTGCTTGTTTGGACCTGAGGCTGGCGGTCAGAGATCATCGGCATCGACTAGTAATAGTACTGGCAGCCAAATAAAACATAATAAACATCAATGTCAAAGGGAGACCACCAAACCAAGGTTGCCTATCGGTCATCAGACTAACAACAAAAGCGGTGGCGGTAAAATGTTGCAGTCTTTCGAGGAATATGTGTTCCAAACACATGACAAAAAATTCATTTCACCTGGCAGTAGCATGGATTTAGATAAGAAAACAACAACAAGGCACTTAATAACAACAAATGGTGTGTGCGGTAAAACAAATGATGATAGCAATGGTAAACTATTGTTGACTTTGAACGATCATCATGGGGGCAGTAAAAATGCTGCAGAAGAGACCACCACACAGCAGCAGCAGGAACATCATGATGTTAATTTGGATTATGAGGTAGGTGATGGTACTGAAATTTGTTTTTTTATTTTTGTAATTAAAAAAAAACTTTTTCTTTTACCAAAATTTTCTTTAGGAAGCTGTCAAAGCTTTGAATCTCCTGCAATCGAATGCCGAGGCATTGCGCTCATCATTGCATCAACGTCGTCGTTTAAATTCTTTACAAGAAACGGAAAAATATCTGCTGCGTAGTGGTTTGACATTGGACGATTTGAAGGCCTTATCGATTATACATGTGGCGGGAACCAAGGGAAAGGTAGGTGCTGGTGTTGGATTTCAAGTTATTTGGAATTTCTGTCTTTCAGTCAGTCATTAATTAATTAGTTGTAGATCGTGTAATGTCCGGTTGAGAGACAAAAAATCCACATCTATTACAAAAAGCACACAAAAGTGATTCACACAGTCTGCTGCTATTTCCGCAGAATATTTTATTTCATTACTTTTTCAGGGGAAATGTTTGTTTACCTCAGAATTTGCTGGTATTATAATGATAAGGCGTAATGATCCAATATTAGTATTTGCTGAAGGAGATTTAAAACTAAATAGTGCAAAGGTGCAAAATCAAAAATATGTGGGTGAAGAAGGAGAAAAATTTATAAATTCGGAAATCTCTAAAGGGCTCACGGAACTTAAGCTCTGCAACACATTGATGAAAGACTCCCTTTAGCTTCCAGCTCGTCTATAAATGCCCAACTGGTATCCAGACCGTCGGTAAAAGGTTCCCTTAAGCTCATTTCTAAAAGATTTGCCTCAGATCGACTATAAAACTTCTACTGGCCTTCAGCTAGTCTCTATAAGATTTACAAGCCTCCAGAACGTCTACAAAATAACTACTAGCCTCCAGATAGTCTATGAACGATTTCCGTCAGCTCGTCTGTGAAAGACTTCATACAGATTGTCGATTTAAGATTCTCTTGAACACGTCTATAAAAGGTTCCCTTCAGTTCGAGAAATACCTAAAGCTGTGAGGATGCATAAAGGCGATTATCCCCAAAAGACCTCTAGGGAACTTTCGATCGACCGAATCCCTATCATGCGTGCAGTGGCTATAAAGACTCCCTTTCAGCTTGTCTATGAAAGACACCCTTCAGCTCGTCTATGAAAGACTCCCTTCAGCTCGTCTATGAAAGACTCCCTTCAGCTAGTCTATGAAAGACTCCCTTCAGCTCGTCTATGAAAGACTCCCTTCAGCTCGTCTATGAAAGACTCCCTTCAGCTCGTCTATGAAAGACTCCCTTCAGCTCGTCTATGAAAGACTCCCTTCAGCTCGTCTATGAAAGACTCCCTTCAGCTCGTCTATGAAAGACTCCCTTCAGCTCGTCTATGAAAGACTCCCTTCAGCTCGTCTATGAAAGACTCCCTTCAGCTCGTCTATGAAAGACTCCCTTCAGCTCGTCTATGAAAGACTCCCTTCAGCTCGTCTATGAAAGACTCCCTTCAGCTCGTCTATGAAAGACTCCCTTCAGCTCGTCTATGAAAGACTCCCTTTAGCTCGTCTATGAAAGACTCCCTTTAGCTCGTCTATAAAGACTCCCTTCAGCTTTTTTCTACGACCCACCAAAGGCGTGGATTTCTAAGAATATTCTTAATGGCCTTCAGCTCGCCTCTGCAACATTGTTTATGAAGTCTTCCTTCTCTCTTCCCCCCAAAAATAAAGTCCCTCCTCCTCCTTCTCCAATTTTCTTATCACCCTGCAATGCAAAAAAAAAAAAAAAATCAAAATAATTGCATCGAAATGCGATCATTGGCATTTTGGAATAGACACAATTTTTTCTGCTTGGGTGTATGTACATATAAAAAAATCTATTTGAGCTCCGATAACCCTGGGTGACCACACATAAACAACAACAACAACAAAATAGAAAAAATAAATAAATACTAGTTTGTTATCGATTTAATCAAAAATAGTGCCAATCATAATTATGGGAATATTTTTGGAAAACTTTTTTTGGTGTGGGGAGATTATTTACCACCACACACACACACATACATATACATACCTTTATTTTTAATATATACAAAAAACCGGTATGGAATTAATTTTTCTTCTTATCTCTTCTATTTTTTCTAGGGTTCAACCTGTGCCCTGGCCGATTCCATACTACGTCATTATGGTGTCAAAACTGGATTTTATAGTTCTCCACATTTGGTATCGCTGACGGAACGCATACGCATAAATGGTCAACCCATATCGAAACAAAAATTTATCCACTATTTTTGGCCGGTCTATAATCGCCTGAAGGCCCAGCAGGAAAATGAAACGGATATGCCAGCCTATTTTAAATTCCTTACCATTTTGTGTTTCCATGTCTATTTGGCCGAAAAGGTAGATGTGGCCATTTTGGAAGTGGGCATTGGTGGGGAGTTGGATTGTACAAATATTGTGCCGCATAGCAAAACTGTGGGCATCACTTCGCTGGGTTTGGAGCATACAAATTTATTGGGTAATACCCTTAAGGAAATTGCCTGGCAAAAGGCTGGTATTATAAAGCCGAATTGTCAGGTTTATACCTCCGTACGACAGCCAGAATGTTTGGAAGTTATTAAGACAAGGGCATCGGAGAAAAATGCCACCTTGCATATTGTACCGGAATTTGAAGAGTATTTTGGAGAAGACCATCAACAATTGAAAAATAGATTTAATAATATTACCCTGCTAAATGGTTCCTTGGCTCTGCAATTGGCCTATGATTGGTTAAGGCAAAATCGTAATGGTTTCTATAAACATTATGCGGTAAATAAGGCAATTCTAAGTCCTGAGGCCTTGGAGGGTTTGGTGAATTGTGTGTGGCCAGGCCGTTGTCAGGTGGTGGAGTTCTATAATTACAGGTAAAAAAAATATTTTTAAATTATTTCAAACAAAATAATAAAATAATTTTTTTCTCTTCCCCCTCCCCCCTCCAGCATGCACTTGGATGGTGCCCACACTGTGGAAAGTATGCAAGTTTGTGGCAATTGGTTTGCCCACACCACACGCAACAGCCGCAAACCGAAAATTTTACTGTTCAACACCACCGGTGAACGTGATTCGAAAAATCTCCTCAGCATTTTACACAACTACAGTCATTTCGATATGTTATGTTTTGTACCGAATATTGCAACGACGGCACAAAATCAAGATACCAAATCGGTTTTACATTCGCATGTCGAACAATTGAAACGGACACAAATACACCTGAACAGTTGGCGGGAACTTTGCCAGGAATCAGAAACCGAAAGGAATGGTCAACATCAAGCGAAAACATATACCACCGTAATGTCATGTTTTGAAGATATACGAACGATTTATGGCACACAAAAATTGGATATTTTAGTTACCGGTTCCATACATTTATTGGGTGCAGTTATTTTAACCTTAAATCAGTTAAGTGGGGAGTTGGGGGCATTGGAGGGCAAACTTAATTAGGTTTAAGAGAGAAAAGAAGGAAACATTTTAGAGTTTTAAGATTATGGAATTAATATTTTTTGTTTTTTTTATGAATTGTAAATATGTTATTTTTAGTTGTTGTTTTTTTTTAATTTTATTAAATTATATAATATAAAGTATATAAAATATTAAAAAATATAGATATAAAATAATTAAATTTTGTTGGCAAAAGTAAGCCCATAAATGTAAGCACATTTTTCATCTTATATATAAGAGCTACAGATTTTTGTTTTTTGGAGACTAATAGTGAAATTTGATGTAGAATATTTTCTCCATTGACACCAAGTCCCTACAATGCAGATTTGAGAGAAATATTGGTCTTTTTTGCGAAACAATATATCAATTTAACCAAAATTGTATTATTGTGATATATTACAAAATTTTTAACCCTATTTTCATGATCTATATAAAAGCTACAGATTTTTGTTGTTATGAGACTTATAGTGAAATTCGATGTAGAATATTTTCTCCATTGACACCAAGTCCCTACAATGTAGATTTGTGAGACATATTAGCCATTTTGCGAAACACTATACCAATATAACCAAAATTGTATTGTTGTATTATTTTACAAAATGGTTAAACATTTTTTATGGTCTATATAAGAGCTACAGATTTTTGTTGTTCGGAGACATATAATGAAATTCGATGTAGAATATTTTCTCCATTGACATCAAGTCCCTACAATGTGGATTTGAGGGACATATTGGCCTTTTTGTGAAACACTACACCAATTTAACCAAAATTGTATTATTGTGATATATTACAAAATGTTTAACCATATTTTCATGATCTATATAAAAGCTGCAGATTTTTGTTGTTTGGAGACCTATAGTGAAATTTGGTGTAGAATATTTTCTCCATTGACATCAAGTCCCTATAATGCAGATTTGAGGGACATATTGACCTTTTTGCGAAACACTATACCAATTTAACCAAAATTGTATTATTGTGATATATTACAAAATGTTTAGCCATATTTTCATGATCTCTATAAGAGTTGCATATTTTTGTTGTTTGGAGACTTATAGTGAAATTCGACGCAGAATATTTTTTCCATTGACAATAAGTCTCTACAATTCATTTTTGAAGTACATATAAGCCTTTTTTCTAAACACTAAATATACCATTTTTATGGTATATATTAGAGCTACAAATTTTTGTTGTGCGGAGACCTATAGTGAAATTTGATGTAGAATATTTTCTTCATTGACACGAAGCACCTATAATGGAATATTGAAGGACAAATGGCCCATATTTGTAAAACATACCAAAATTAACCGTATTTATTTGATGATTTAAAAAAAGCTCAAAAAGAAATCCTTATTTTCCAAATATTTATTAGAGCTACCGATTTTCGTTTTTCGGAGACTGTTAGTTAATTTCGGTGTAGAATATATCTTCCATTAACACCAAGTCTATATAATGGAGTATTTGGAGACAAATGCGCCTCTATTCGGGAGTCATATCAAAGTTGAGCAAATTATAGGATTTTGTTATAAAGATGAAAGAGATGACCCTATTTTAGGAATAAATATTTGACTTACAGATTTTTGTGGTTCTGAAACTTATATTAAAATTTGATGCGGAATATAACTACCATTGATACCAAGTCTCTATAATGGAGTATTTGGGGACATATGGGGTCTTTTTTAAAAGACTTATGCAAATTGAAAAAATTAAAGGATTTCGTAATATAGGCCAAAGAGATGGCTCTATTTTCCGATTATATATTAGAGCTACCGATTTTTGTTGTTCGGATACTCATAATGAAATTTGATGTAGAATATTACTTCCATTGATACCAAGTCTATATAATGGAGTATTTGGGGACATATGGGGGTCCTTTTCAAAAGAATTACCCAAAATTTTACAAATTTAAGGGATTTTGTTACATAGTTACATAGACCAAAAGTGGTGACTCTATTTTCCGATTAAATTTGAGAGTTACAGATTTTTGTTGTTCGGAGACTCATAATGAAATTTGATTTAGAATTTTTCTTCCATTTACATCAAGACTGTATAAAAGAAAATTTGGGGATATTTGGGCTCTTTTTAAGAAGACTTACCAAAATTGAAAAAAATCAAAGGATTTTATTATAAAGGCCAAATAGATGACCCTATTTTCCGATTAAATTTGAGAGGTACATATTTTTGTTGTTCACAGACTTATATTGAAATTTGATTTTGAATATAACTTCCATTGATAACAAGTCTCTAAAAAAAGTATTTGGTAGCATATTGGCTAGTTTTGAAATGATTTAACAAAATTGAACAAAAAATTCAAAAGATTTTATTATATAGGCTAAAAAGATGACCCTATTTTCCGATTAAATTTGAGAGCTACAGATTTTTATGGCTCAGAGACTAATATTAAAATTTGGTGCTGAATATAATTTTCATTGATGCCAAGTCTATATAATGGAGTATTTGGGGACATACGGGGTCTTTTTCAAAAGACTTGCCCAAAACTGAACATATTTAAAAGATTTTGTAATATATGCCAAAGTGGTGACCCTATTTTCCGATTATATATTAGATCTACCGATTTTTGTTGTTCGGAGACTCATGATGAAATTTGATGTAGAATATAACTTCCATTGATACTAAATCTCTATAATGGTGTATTTGGGGACATATTGGGTATTTTTCAAAAGAATTGACCAAAATTGAAAATTAAAAAAAATTTAAAGGATTTTGATATAAAGGCCAAAAGATGATCCTATTTCCGATTATATATTAGAGCTACAGATTTTTGTTGTTCGGAGACTTATATTGAAATTTGAATTAGAATTTTTCTTCCATTACCACCAATTGCCTATAATGGAGTATTTGGGGACAAATTGGTCTCAATTTGAGAGACATATGAAATTGATCATTTGTTTTTTTTTAATATTTATTTATCAATTCTTAGATCATTGAACTATTTCTTGCCAACATTCAAATTTTTGGCTTCATGTTGCACACACACAAACACACACCAATATAAGTATCAGTTAAAAATTGACACCTGATACGTGATATAATTTTTCATCGCATAAACAAATATGTAAGTAGGTCAATAAACAAAAAACATCGATATTATTTAGCTCTAGTTATCGACATTTCAATTCTTTTTTTATGTGTATCAAATCAATTGATTTATTTGAAAAACAAAAATTGAAAAAAAGAGAGGAAATTGTATGTAATGTTAGTTTTGAAATCCTACGCAAGGGTAATTAATAATGAGTTGGGGTGAGGATTGTGTGTAACAAAGGGAGAAGTTGGAAGAAATATTTTTTTTTTATTTCAAATATTTCCCCTTAATAAATTTGAAACATAATATATAAAGTTTTGTATATATAAATAAAATTAAATTAAAAAAATATTTATTATCAAAAACGAAACCACAACTTGAGTATCCAATAGTATTTGATGCGGAAAATTTTAATAAGCATTTGTACCAGCCAGCCAACCTGCCTGCCTGGCTTGGCTGCCTTAATGATGATGATGATTATTGTTCGTTTGATTGCAATTTCAAATATTTCTATTTGTTTTGTTTTTATTGTTTAATTTTAAATTGTATGTGTGATTTGGAAATCGAAGACTTCAAATGCAACTAGAAAAAAATAAATAAAATAACAACAAAAAGTAAATAATAATTGTATTGCCCACTAATACAAAGTTGTTTGTAATTTACTGCATTGTCAATATCCATGGTGGGCCGCGGACGAAGACACTTACTTGGCTCCTCGTCTTGCCAGGCAAGTGTGATTGTCATACCATCCATCCATGTTTGTTACTGCACATTTTGTTAGTTATCAATGGTGGTTGTGGTTAGTGGCGTTGATGCCATTCTTTTTGCGGTAGCAAAAAATGGCAACAACAACAAATTGAAAATTTAGAAAAACAGATTTTGTTGTAGGGAAAAAAACCTCAGCTAATTTGTTTGCTTCAAATGAAATCTGAAATCGAATCGAATTATGTGATGGGGAATTAACGGGAATTTTGTGGTCGAAGACATGAAAATGATAACCACGTTTCCATGAAAAATATTGAAGCTACAGATTTTTGTTTGGAGGAGGCTTATAGTGAAATATGATGTAGAACATTTCCTCCATTGACACCAAGTCCCTGTAATGGAGTTTTAAGGGACAAATTGGCCTCTAATCGAATGACATAACAAAATTGGCCAACATTATAAGAATATGTTATATAGCCAGAATTGATAATCCTATTTTCATGTTATATATTAGAGCTATCGATTTTTGTTGTTCGGAGGCTTATAGTGAAATTTGATGTAGATTATATCCTCCATTAACACAAAGTCCCTATAATGAAGTATTAAGGGAAAAATTGGCCTCTTCTCGAAAGACATAACCAATTTGGTCTCAATTTTAAGGTTAGGTTTTATTTCCCAAATAAGCAATCATATTTTCCTGATATATTTTAGAGTTACCGATTTTTGTTGTTCGGAGACTTATAGTGGAATTTGATGTAGAATACATTCTTCATTGACACCAAGCTCCTTTAATGAAGTTTTAAGGGACAAAATGGCCTCGTTTCGAAGGCAAGAATAAAATTGACCAAAAGTATATTATTTTTCCATATAACCCAAAATAACAACTACATTTTCGTGATAAATATTAGAATTACAGATTTTTGTTGTTCCGAGACTAGTAGTGGAATTCGATGTAGAATATTGCCTCCATAGACACCAAGTCCATATAATGGAGTTTTAAGGGACATATCGGCCTCTTTTTGAAAGGCAGACCAATTTTGGTAAAAATTGTAAGGTTAGATTATATTGCCCAAATAGGCAATCATATTTTCCTGATATATATTAGAGTTACAGATATTTGTTGTTTGGAGACTTATAGTGAAATTTGATGTAGAATATTTTCTCCATTGACATCAAGTTCCTATAATGGAGTAATAAGGGAAAAATTGGACCCTATTCGAAAAACATAAAAAAATTGACATAAACTTAAGTATATTCT